ATTCATTCTGTTTATTAATATAATTCATGCACCAAAACTTTTTGTTGTTTTGTTTAAATTTAAATTACGAAAGCTTATAATGTATTTCTAAAGTGGCCCACAAGATCATTTAGGTTGGCCACCCCTGCTATGGAAGATAATTTTGGAGTTAATTTATCCGATACACAAATTTACGAAATTATATTAGGTAATTCAGAAAATATGGAATCTAAAACAAATGAACAATCCAAATTAGGTAAGGGACAGTGGGATGGAGCGGTATTGGTTAACAAAGTAATAGATAATGTAATAAAATTAGTCACTTTTTTACTGGAGAAGTCCAGGAAGAATTACCTAGATTTATTGATGCATGCGAGTTGGTCGAATCGGTTATTAGAGCAGGACATGTTAGTATGATTCTCAAGACTATAATTACGAGGTTCCAAGGACAAGCATATGACTTAATAAAATACGAAGTTATAGATACCTGGGAGGAATTAAAAAATATTTTAAAACACTAGTACGAAAGACCCAAAAATGCTTTTTATTGCGTTATATAAATATAAATTGCATTGTTTAGTTGTAAATTATTTGTTTTTGATGAAACTTCCTTGTATTCCAGTGTATAAAACTTATAACTTTGTTAACTGTTATAACTTTATCAAAAATGACCAAATCAGTATAGTTTTTTTTTATTTAGATGCATGTCTTTATCTATCATTTGGTTTTTTTTTTATAAATCTAACCCTTTACCTGTCCACAAGAGGGATTCAAAATAATAACTTTTTTTTTTTTGGTTAAAGTAAATANATATTAACTTTTTTTTTTTTAGTTAAAGTAAATCATTAAAATTAATTCAGTTCTGGATATTTCAATTGTAGAATCTTTTTAAATATCAAAAATTACTTAGAAATGATTACTATGATTTTCCAAGAGCAACATTAACTCTTTTTTCTTTAATTATATCCTGATTAGTAGTTCTTTGATTTTAAAATATAATATATGAATAAATACTATTTATAGTTTTTAAATTTTTTAGTTTTGAAATTGTAAGATGATATTGCAAATCAAAATGTTCCTTAACATTTTGTATAGTATATTTTTCATCAGTTACGTCTAGAAAGCAAATATAATGTAATGTATGTTGACTTCAGACTTTACATTGAGTAAAACTATGAAAAGCGCCGTGTCTATTTACACAAAACAATATAAATTTAGCAGGAACATCAGTACAAAAAGCTTTAAGCCACTTTTAAAAGTTTACCTTCACAAGTTAAACCATATTTAATTCTTCAACAAAGATTTCTAGATAGATATCAATACTGTAAGGCTTTTCAACATTACTATGTCACATACCAATCGCAAATACATAATAAACTTTATAGATTGATCCAAAAATAGGCCAAACTTCTCTATACAATGAATTAGTAAGGAGTAAATCATCAATATTGACCATTAGTTCAATTTAGACCTTTACAAGATAAGTTTTATATTTTTTCTAAAAATTACATTAAACTTTAGTGCAGTTCATTATGCCAGTAACTTCCCTTATTTTCTACTACTCTAATAATGGTATTTAGAGGGGTTTTTAGCAATGTTCTTGAAGACATAGAAAGGTCATCATGACCACCACATGTTTTGAGAAATTTTTAAATAGCTATCCATGGCTTTTGGTGAAATACTTTCATTAGAAACAGTCCAACTAGTAAGTTGATTTTTAAAAGTATTTCATTGGTTATACAATAAAAAATTAAAATTATTCAATGAGGTTGGAATTTATGGAAATTCAGTGAAATAATAATATAAGAAAACACACAATATGTAGTATAAGTATAATATTATTATCAAAATTTAATATTTGGTACTAAATTTTCATACAAAATTAAAAAAAAATGTTTTTTTAGTTTATATTACATCATTTAATAGCCATATAAAAATTTAATATATAGTATTAATGTATTATGTATTACTATTCATACATGTGTAAGAAACAATAGTTAAATCAGTATTAGTAAACAATAGATTTAATAATTTTTATCGATTAATATTATTGATATATTTTTAATTTTTTTTATTTATACTTTATCGTGATAAAATAAAATCAAACTGCATTTTTTAGATGTATTAATAATAATCAAAAAACTGTCTGTTGGGGTCCTGGTACGGTAGGAACGCGCATTGGAATATTTGCATAAAATACTAGAAATAAGTCCAAAAGAAATTAACAAAAATACATGAAATGTGTAATTTAATTGTTGCTTATATACATTATACTATCAAACAGCACTAATAAAAATATTTCTACCCTTTTCCTGTAATAAACAAAAGAAGAAAAAAAAGTAGTGGCGGTAGCAAAGGGATGTTGTTAGGTGTGAAAGGAAAGAAATGTAACACTGGTGGCCAATTTATCGTGTGTCGATAACGACGAACAGTTACCGAATCGGTAACACTTGTGTCTTTCACACTTAAGGTACGAGGTTCGCATCCGCCCGTGGCAATTAATATTTTGCATTTTTTTTGAGTTAGAATAAAACTTTCAAATAATTTAATATTTATCTCAGTTAGATTCAATAACTTCAATAAATATAAAGGATCCTATCACTAGTGTCCCCTCGTGAGAAGAAATTTATATTCATGTTAATATTATTTTACTATGTGGATCTTTTTGTGGCTACGATTTATTTTGCCCATCCTCATTCGACCTACTTTTTTCAACGATATGTCAAATGATTACAATTCCTATTTAGTTGAAGATATTACCCTCAAAAATTGAAAAAAATTCCTTAATCAAATAAAAAGTAGCAGAACCAGCTATATCCATACAATTATATTCATTCATTTCTACTTTGAAATTTATTAATTTTTTTACTCTATTTGTGTGTGTTACTACCAGTCTATAACATTTCAAATTTTTTCGTAACATGTTGCTATACAAATCATAAATCTAAAAAAAAAATGATTTTTAGTTTCACCTGAATTTAACAATGGATAAAATAAAAAATGTACTGTAAAAAGTAATTATAAAATTTCCTGATTGCATATTAATCTTAACAATTTCATTTTTTCTATTTAATAATGTCAATATCAAACTTGCAAGTTGAGTTAAAAGTTATGGTAATAAATTCATTTTTTTTTTTTTTTATTAAAACTTTCACTTTCAAGGACAAAAAAAGCATGTTAAAAATTATTACATTTAACATATACAAAATCAATAATATTTTGAAAACAATTAATTTTAAAAATTATATGATATATAATTAAAAGAATTACTAATCTGGATATAATTAAGGAAATAGAAGTTGATGTTGCTTTTGTAATTATCCATCAATTTCTTAGAACTAAACACTATCTATAGATTTGCATCGAAGTGTTTCTTATGATAGTGATTTTAATCACTGTCAGATTAAATTTATACTGGACTCAACTATGCCACGTCCCCGTTGTGCTGAGTATTTTTGTTTGTGCATTCAGTTAATATCGATTGAATTCCACGTCCCCACTGTGCCGCGACCCCACTTTGCTGGGATTTTAAATACCCATTAATACTATATTATGTTGAACACAATAGTTATTTTATAATTATATTTATGTAATGAGCTGTTATATTAATTATTTTATTTCATTATTATTCTATTAACTTTATATTATTTATGTGTGGATAGCACATGTTTCCACTTTTTTTTAGTCAACGCTAAAGAGCGAGTGTCCAAACCGCCCCTTGGTGTTTTTCATTAATTTTGATTAACATTAACGGATGTGTTCTAATGCTGTCCGTGATGTTTGTTATATCATTTTATTTTATTTTTATTATCAGCCTTTATTTGTAAATATGATTTTTGTTGCATTCGTATTATTGCCATGTTTAATTTAACTTTCTTTTTTAATAACTTAATTTAGTTCCCTTACTAATTTTAACTGTAACATTTAATTTTATTGTGTGAGTTAAATTTGGTTAATAAACCACGAGGTATTATAGTCATTTATATTTAACGACATATTAATTCAAATTAAATTATTAAATAACTTAAAATTAAATTCCACCTATGGTCTGGTAATCATTAATTCATTTGTATGTATATTATTGCATCGTATTTACACTATGTTTTGGAACAAATGTGAAATTGATTGCTTGTCGGGCAAATTTCTTTTTAAGTACTTATTGTAGATATATTTTATGCAGTTTAAAGAAAAAAATTTCCGCATCATTCTGCCCTTTTTTATTCTGTTAATTTTAAGTGAAGACGTCTTAATATGTTAACATACATTTTGAGTTATATTATAATATACTTTACATATAAATATTATATATTTGGTTAAATTATACAAAAGTGATAGAATTTCAAAAAGAAGCTCTACATCTTAATATTTGAATCTATTTTAAAATTACTAAAATTTTAAATTCGTATATGCAAGCACGCATTAAAAATCAATACAGTATATCGTATTAAGTAGTATATGAACTCTTACATAAAATTATTTGACTTTTGCAAAGATGGACACAAACTCTTGATTTTAAAATATTAAAATATAAAGACCGATTTGTATTATTAATTTAATTTAATTAATTAATTAAATTAATTTCCATGCCATCAAGTTTTTATACAACAGATTTTATATTTAAAATTTATACGCATTGGATTTTGATAAAATATTAACCAATAATTTAATTCTTCTAGTTTTTAAAAAGTAAAGAATTTTTTTTATTTTTTTAAATATAACTTTAATACATGCACGTAGCCAGAAAATGTTTATTGGCCAATTTTTGGCCTTTGTATCATTTTCCATAATTTGTTTCCCATGAAAAGCTTGTCAGGGGACTCCCTCCACTCCTCCTTAGACTATATACTAATCTTACAAGTTCAAAATTTTACCATTGGTTGGTTATAAACAAATTGTTTTAAAGAATTAATACAATGTTTTGTCAACCTAATCTTTGGTACAAAACTTGTTGTACGTAAATAAAAATAACAACACTTAAAATATTTAAATAAAAAAATTTTTCATTTTTTTTTAAATGTATACACCCAATCAATATGAAAAATAAATAAAAAATAAACAATTCAACAACATAAATCTAACAGAAGTACAAAAAATAATAAATAAAACAAAAATAAGCAATGTCACTATTACACTTATTCATACAATAAAAATAGTACACTACATGTTTTGTTACAGGTTGGGTTATTAATAATACATAAGCCTTAATAACAAATATTTTAAAACTGTATAAGGAACATTAAGAAGCTAACTTACTATTATTCACTTATAATACACTCTGAAAAAAATTCAGTTATAAGGAAAAATATATTCATTATATATTAAATTAGACAGATAAATTCGAATCATTTAAACCTTAATTAAAAAAATAATCTGTTGTTTTATGAAATTTTATTTACAATTAAAAATATTTAAAAACACTTTATATTTCATAATACTTGATAATATTAAATTTTGATTTATATTGGTAATTTTAGATGAAAAAACCATTTCAAAATATTGTTTGTAGTCAATTAATATAATTAAATACAACACCAACAGATTCACTATTCCTTATAGTAGAATGAATTGTTAATATTCATTTTATAAATGAACATTTTTAACATAATGAACTCTTTAACTCGCCTAAATCAGCAAGAAGTCGATGGTTAATACTTGGACTTGGACTATTGGTTTTGTTGTTAACCTGATGTTGTTCTTTTAAATGACTTAAAGCATTTAATAACCTGTTGTTGGCTGCATCCAATGCAGCAATTTGATGTTCTTGTGCCTCAATAACTCGTTGTTTATGTGTTAAAGTATCAGATATTTTACGCTGTTTTCGTCTAAGTTCATCTTCTACAGACATCAATCTAAAAGAAATAATTATGTAATATTGTAGTTTGATATTTTAATATCATAATTATATTAATAAAAATTAATTCAAACCTTGCAATTATATTTTTCATATTATCCGGTTCATTATCAATTATTTCTGGCGAGTTTGGTTCAGATTGTAGTTGACTATTTGCTTGCTCTAACTTTAATTTAAGTATCTGTATGTTGGTCTGCTGCCGTTCAATTTCTTTCTGGTACTAAATAAATAGAAAATTTTTTTACAAAAGAAAAATATTAATAAATAAAAAATATTAAATTTTTTTAGTTACATTTAATTTATCAATAGTTCGATTTGTTTTTAAATTATTTGTAATATTTTGGTTTCTTGTATCATCATCTTCAGAAGAATTTTCTGACATTCCACGACTGGAATCTAAAGAAACACGTCTTCTAAGTGGCTTTTCAATCGAACTTACTATTTTAGCATCTAAATTGCAAGTATTAATTATTAACTTAATTAAGTTAAATTAATTTTTAAAATATCATAATTTGGCATGAAATTATGAAAATTCATAAATTTGATATTACTTACCAGATACACATTTCAAGTTGGTATTAATACCCTTAACTTTATTAGGAGACCATTTCCAGGCCATAGACCTAGCTGTACCACCATTACACTGAGGATTGTTTCTTGGGGCACGATAAGGTGGCAAAAATCTTGGAGCAACTTGGGAGATTTTATCAGTAGTTGGTATGTTTTCATCATCTGATGAACTACATGATCGAGGTCTTTGTTTTCTCTGATGATGGTGGTGATGATGATGATGGTGGTGGTGTTGATAAAGTGGGTTAACAAATGCTAAAGGAGGTAGGGTGGGATTACTATTAGCTACTGGTGGTTTATTGTTGGTGGTCAAATCAACTGAACTTGAACTCTGACTATATGCAGTAAAACTTTGATACCCTGATGATGCCACATTTGACAGAGTAGAAATTGACATTTGGCTTCCTTTTTGTTGCTGATCCATTTCAACACATGAATTATGACCATTATTTTGATGATGTGATGAATAGCCATTATAATTTGTTAAAGGCTCATCATACTTCATTTTAGGGCATAACTGTAGATTTGGAGAGCTTGGATTTGACGAAAAGAATGCATTACGAGGTAATGTTGAAGCTCGCGGGGTATTAGTCAATGAGTGTTTTTCACATAATAGAGTTGAACTACCCACTAAATTATTAGTGCTATTTAAAGAAGTTCCTTGTGTTGAACCGTATAATTTTTGGTCATCTTTAGAAGTTGGATCATTATACCTTTATCATAAAATTTTTTTTTTATTCTTATAATTTCAAAAAGAAAAATTCTAGTGTAATATGTATACCTGAATATATTTTGATGAAATACTGGTTGATAGGTATTATTTTGTTCAAATGGTTGATTTTCAATACAATTTAAAGGTGTTCTTCCATTAGGTGGCTGAGCTAAAGCTATTTGCACTGTTTCCAGTATTTTATGCAGCTTATCTACCTCTTGTAAACGTACAGGAGAAATTTTATCAGCACACTCAAGGAGTAATGTATGAAGTATACTGAGCTGTTTACCAAGATCAATATGTCCATCAAATTCTGTTGAATGAGTTTGCGGTGTAGAGTAACCATTTGGTATAGGACTCTAAAAAAATAAAAACATAAAATACACTTAAGTGATTTAATAAAATAACAATATTTTACAAATATTTTTACAGAAATTATTTTCAAGAAGGATTTCATTGAAACAGCTTCACGTTCTAAAAAATCATTCATAAATTCCATAAAGTTCTCCTTTCCTTGAAATCTCGTAAAATTAGCTAATGTTTGTAAAGTCGTTGCAACAAGAGTTAAATTTCTTGCTGCCTTTTCGTTAGGGTATTCTAAAAGAAAAATTTAAATATTAACTTGATACTTTTTGTTAGATAGAAATATTTAGCATTAAATTAAATAAATACCATGAGTAATATTAAACAAACTAGGTGATAGAATGGCTGGACACAAGAACCTTAAGAATATACAAGCTGATATCAAATTATCATTTATGTCATGACGTCCAGTTTCATTCTTCAGTTTCATGATTCATACGTTCCCTGAACCTTGTGAAGCACCCACGAAGTTCACTAAACGATAAAAAAATTATTTTTAATTTGTTATAAAATTATTAGTATGTTTTATGTCAGGCTTGTATTTAGAATTTTTTTAAAAATACATTCTATTATTTTTGCTTAAAATCGTTCTAAAAGTAACATTTTCTGTCAAAAATTTGCCTACATATACATATACATTCCTGATTTTATGTATATATTTAATACTTACAATGAAAATGAAGTGTGTGAGGATAATATTCTATTCCATGTAGTTTCAACAGCGTGTCTTAAATTTGCTTGCTGCTTAACTAAGTTTGATGAACTACCAGCTTTTAAAGGATCAACTTCACAATCAAATCCAGCTTGTAATAAATTAGACACAAGTTCTCCAACAGTTTCATGCAAATATTTCTCTCCTCTTAGTTTTAAATATGCTTCCATAGCTTTAGTAGCTAATGAATTTCCTCTGAATGTTAATAGATCATCTTCAACTTTTTCAATATCCATCATTACTATGTCAGATAAAAACTCTTTAGCTAAATTTTGTTTTTGCATAACATGAACCAAAGCAGTTGCAATATCTTCTTTGGTCTTGACTCCAACAACAGGTTCCAATATTTTGCAAGCGGGCTTTTATATTAGTAAATCGGCCTGTAACAACAACGTGGTTTGCCACATGCATAACGACTAGCTAGAGTAGCAAGGGTCGCCACCACCTAGGCGAGGTGTCATACCTATCAGATATGATTACCGGACCATAGGTGGAATTTAATTTTAAGTGAATTAAAAGTATAATCTAAGTTAATATGTCGTTATATGTATACATTACTATAATGCCTCGTGGTTTATAGAACACAATTATGACAATCAAAGTTGTATGTGGTTGATATGTAAAACATACCGTAGCCCGTGTCTAGATTAAGGAATAGGAATGAAATACACGCGAGTAATTAAGTTACTCGCGCAATAAAATAAATATTACAATTGAAATTAATAAGGAAATTTAATTTAATTGTTAAAAAAAGAAAATTAAGTTAAACATGGACAAAAATGCGAATGCATCAAAAACCATGTCTACAAATAAAGGCAATACAAATAAAATAAAATATTTAAACAAATAATATTACAAACATCACGGACGGTATTGGAACACATCCGTTAATGTTAACAGGAAATTAATGAAGAACACCAGGAGCGGTCTGGACACTCGCTCCTTAGCGTTGGCTAGAAGAAAAGGGAAACACGTGCTCTCCACACATAAACAAAATTAAGTTAATTTACAATAAAATAAAATGAAATAAAATAATTAATAAAATATAGCTCATTACATAAATATAATATAAAAAAGAAAAAGATACCCGGTCTCCGAAGAGACCCATCCGATGGTCTGGATGCTTCGCCGAAAAGATCTGGCCGTTCGCCGTTGGCGGCTCTACTCCATCATTGAAAAAATGTCAATAAAACAATAAACGTGTGCACCCTAGCACGGTCAATGACAGAAGAAAGAATAGAGAAGAGTCAACACCGATCTAACGGCAATTTCAAATCGATAACGGCCAGTCTTTTTGGAAGGGATCAATACTGATAAACAATTCGATTTTAATTATATTTCTCTTTTATCGCCTTATCTAGCGGTCAGAGGCAAAATAATGAGTGGTTGACACCGCTGTGTCAGAAAAAGGTTCTTTCGTGCGATAAAATAAATAAGTAGACATAACAAAAAATCATAAACGGTCCACCTTCGAATTTGTGACGTTACAATTTCACAGATTGTTTTATAATCAGTACACAAATACTATTAAATTAAAACAAAATATTTTCTTAAAATAAAATTATAACATAATAAAACACTTTACTAAAAAAAAAATACCTGTAAGAATTCTTGATAAATTTGAATAGGTAAGATATCAACACTTTGAAATCGGCATTTTACTCTTAAAGATGGTGGATCCTTTAAGTTTTTTTCAGTTACCACCGGATACCATTTTTCAGTAAGAAATCTCGAAGTAACATCATGAACTGGAATACTGACGGTACCTAAAAAATTTGAAGGAAAAAGGTTACATGTGATACATTTAAAAACTTAAAAGTATTTAATTAAAAATATTTTAAAACGTATCAACTAAGAAACTCTTGTCTTTCTTTTTTTTTCTTTCTCCTTCTCTATATAAGTGTATGTTTATTACATTCACTTGAGGCAAACTACTAAAATCGAAATGTTCTACCCAAAAGCATAACTCAGATTTTTGTTTAGACGATGTCCGTGCAAATAGGGTTTTATCCAAGCATAGTTTGCAGAAGTATTTCTTCTTATTTACTAATCCTTTTGCTTTTAAAATCCTAATTTTAAGGGAATTTTCTGTACGGCGAATGTGTTCTTGATCGGGTACTACTGACTTCCTCAAACTGTTAAAATGCAAATATTATATATAAACTTTTGTAAAACGTAATAAATGTATTTGATTTATTCTTTTAAGAACTTTCTTTCTTTCATAAAATCTTAGTAATTAATATACATGTAAACAACTGACCTGTACACCCATTTGTCACATTCTTCACCAGTTCGACATGAAAAGTACCGAGTGTTTCCAGCTGGCAAAGTAACTTGGAAACAGTTCTCTCTACCCAAAACCGACGGATGCAACGGTTTTATTTCGACACAGCTGCCGTTACTTAGGTCTAATGATTGCATGATGCTCTGTGATTGACTTGACAACAAAGATTCGTGTGAACGAGAAGTTCTTAACCACGGACCAATGGGACTAGCATTTCTAAAAAGAAAAAAATTTTTTAAAAATAACCAAATCAATATAACTTTTTTTTAAATAGATGCATGATATAATTACCTTTTATTTAGTATATTTTTTTTATAAATCTGACCCTAGACCTGCCCACAAAGGGGATTTAAAATGACAACTTTTTCACAAAAAATTTACTTTTTCAACTTAAATTTTGAAAGTGTTCCGGAAAATCTGACACTTTTATATATATCTTAAATTAAAGCTAATGTAATATACATTATCATGGAAAAAAAAAATTTCCGACTTTATTTTATCTTCACGGTGAAAATGGCTACCGAATGCTATTTTTGTATGAAAATTTTCGATTTTGTATTTTACATTTTTAACTTTGTTATGCTATAACTTTTTGAAAAATGTATGGATCAGTACGATTTTTTCATGAGGAGTAGTATTTATATACATCTTTCATTTGACATCCTGTTTTTTTTTAAATCGGACCATTTCCATATATACGAGGGGGGTTCAAATTAATACGAATTAATAATAAACTAAAAATTACTAATGAAAAAAAATATAGGATAAAATGAAAATTAAAAAACATATCAGCGGATGAAATCATAAATGAAATATTTCTGAATATTAGTATATTATAGGATATAAGAAATAACTATACGGAATATAGTTCTGAATATTTCAATTATAGTATCTATTTAAACACCAGAAGTTACATCAAGTGATATTATTTGATTTTTGTTTAAATGATTGATTTCGATATGAATACGAAAAAGTTATGACAAATTTAAGTAAAAATAATATTTTATAATTTAAGTAAAACTTGAAAAACGTTGGTTATTAAAAAGAAATAATTTAAGTATAACTTATAGTACATAACATAAGCTTTATTTTAACATATGTTTGAAACTCGGAGTATTTGAATTATTTTCAAAGGTTAAAATTTTGTGCAAAAATTGCTATTTCTGATTTTACTTATGTGGGCAGGTAGAGGGTCAAATTTCCAAAAAATTTTATTAAATAAAAGGGGTGTACCTAAGGTTATAAGGAAAATTATTTAGTTTCGTTTATTTTTCAAATAGTTATGGCAGTTTTAAGAAAAAAAAGTAAAATTAAAAAATTATAATAATTTATGTATATTATAACAAAAATATTATTGATAATCCACAAAAAAGTGAAATAAATTGTCATTTAGTAAACTTCCTATTAAGTAATATCGTTTACCAAAAAATTATTATAATTTTGATAACAATTTCACAATAAATTTCAATTTAATGATTCAAGTTCAGATTCTTAAATATTTTAAATCATTTTTATTAACCAGATAGTATTTATTTTTTTGTATAAATAACAAATAGGTTTTAAACATACATTTTATTGCTAGGTTTTTAGAATCAATAAATGTTTTATGATGAAATCAGTATATTACATTTATTAATTATTTTTTTTAGTAAGTAAATTTGAAGTTTAAAATTAATTATTGTTGAAATATTTTTAACATATTATATTTTTGAGGGATTAAAGAAAAAAAATTAACAAAGTACTGTATTTTGTTTTATTTTAAATGTTTATTACTTTTTCTGAATTTATATCAAATGTAAGTATAATATTTTTATTATAAGAACTCTATAACAAATTGTATTAACTGAATACTTTTCTATTTTATTAAAATAAGGCTATACTTGTTTGGCTGATGAATTAATAATTGACTATAATTATATAAAATATATTTTTAATTGGAAAACAATCTCGAAGACAGTTGTTCCATAATTGTCAATATTTAGAAAGTAAAATGATATATTTATTATGAATGAATACTTAAGATAAGTACTATAAAATTAATGTTACTTTTTAATTATATAAATAACATATTTTATAATTTTTTTTATTCTGAAATTTTGATAAATATCAGTTGTCAGAAATATCTAATATTACACTATATCTTTCATGAATAATAATAATAATATAACTGTCGTAACACAGGAAAGAGAATGATATAAGGTAAATGTGGAAATGTGTAACTGTGTGTACGAAGATGAATATGAGGAGGTGGTGCCTGCTGTCTAGGTATTCACGTGCGTGTTGTCGTACAGCAGTCACCGTGCTCGGCTGACACTCCGGGTTAGCTGTGGGTGTCGAAAGGCTGTTGTTATAGGAAGGGAGAATAAGAGTAACACCTAGGTATGAGGTGCAGACGAAGTGCAAGACACAAGTACTTCAAAGAGAGAACGGGGTAGCCAAGTATAAGGTGCAGACGAAGTGCAAGACACAAATACTGGGCGTACCAGATAAGGAATATAACAAAGTACGAGGTGCAGACGAAGTGCAAGACACAAGTACTCTGAAATGTCGAGGAAAAGAGTATATAGGTTAGAAAAGGAATAAACAAAGACTTTACTTTAAACAGTAAGCCGGACAGCGACAACCGAGTACTGAGACTGATGAATGACACAAGGCACTGGAGTCGACTGACCACGATGGTCAGGTCTATTGGGTTTTTATAATAATTACACTTATTGCCGATTTGGCAATAAATATTATTTGTTAATTCATCAGTCTCAGGCAGCGGATGTGCTGTCTGTATTTTATTAAAATAATTCTCACGATTATGAAAACGTGACACCATCACATAACTATTGTGATATTATTTACCAAAACATTATTTTTATATAATGCATTGTCACTTAAATAAACATATTTTCAGGTTAATATAGTTTTGCAATTTGTAATATGTCATTGAATAACAAGACTGAACCCTATAATGAGTCATCAGGTGTTCCAGTTGTGGATTTGTCTGATACCTCAGATGATGATGAATTAGCAGTAACAAAAAAAGTTGGTAGTAACCTAAGTGATCAACTAGAAAGGCCAAGAACACCTGAAACGCATTGTTCTATTTGTCTTGAAGAATTAAAAAATAAATGCTACTCAGATTCATGTTGGCATGTGTTTTGTTTTGAATGTTTAAAACGATGGTCAACTGTTAGTTATTAAAATAACCCACATTTAAGTATTACTATGTTAATTATTAATTCTTTTAGATTGAATCATCCTGTCCATTATGTAAAAAAGGTTTCAAATTTATAAATCATACATTCACAGAACAAGGCATTCATGAAACTTATGAGGTACCTATTCAAGACAGAGATGCATCGTAAGTAATTTATGGCATATTTTAAAATTTTTTATTTCATTAAATTTCTATTTTTTTAGACAAAGAATATTTTTACGTCCTTTTGCTGATGTTAATAGGTACGTTAAATACGATTTTAATTGAAATATAAAAATTGTTTTCATATAAACTGCTATATTTAATATTTTAAACCGGCATAATGATTTTTATTATGACCCATTATTTCTTTATGATTTCATACAAACTTGTTGTTTAAGAATAATACTATATTCTTTCATCGGCTTCATGTTTTAATAAATTTTACTCTGTATAATTATAAATTATTTTTTATATATTTAAAAATACTAATAAAATTTAATAGTCAATGTTGCCATTATGATAAAAATTGTGGAATCTATGTTGTAATTTACATTATATTTTTCAGAATGAATTTATTGTTGGATCTCGTGAGAAGGAATGAGAGACTAATAAGTGAACAAGATCTTGGTTACTCCCATTATCACCAAAGACAATTTCCAGCTGAATCAAATTTTACTGTTATTAACGGTCATCTTATACGGCGCCAAACTCATGGTAATTGTGTGAATCCAATGTGAATTAGACTTAAGAATTAAGTATATCTTTTGAAAAGATGTTTTAAAAATTAATTTTAGTATAAAAGTATTTTGTATTTATTCTCAATTATGTCTATAAATTCTACATCTATTAATCTTTGTTTTCTTGTTATTTAAATAAAACATTTTTACAGGTGGTTCTTAGAGTTTAAACTTTCACCATTGATATAAAATTATGGTAGTGAGAGTAGTGAAGGGGTGAATTTTCCTACTACTCTACATTCTCTATTCTTACATGACCCCAAATAAGTTTTTCTTCTATATTTGCACATTAAAAATGTTATAAGACCATAATTATTATTATGGTACCAACTGTATTGTGAATAAAGATCCTATATAGATCTATTTAAATATTATGTAACTCTTCTAACCTATAATTATTTGATTTTTAGGTCAAGCTATGAGAGTTCGTGTGTATACTGATAATGTTTGGGCTGAACCATTGCCTGATTTAAGTGGTCGCTTTAGAGATTGCAGTTCAGCATTTTATAGGTACCCAAGAGTTAATAATTAATAAGAGTATTGTTTATTATTAATATTAAATCTGATACTATCCTTTTAATTTTTCTTTAATAATTATTACCACAAAGAAATAGTATTATGTGTAAAATTAATTATACTTTGGTAATTAGTATGTATGAATTAATATCTTCATTATTATTTTCTTTTTTAGAGATAATCCAGCTCAAATGTACCGATTGGCTGGTTTTATTGCCCGGGATATTTCGGCCATTAGAGAAATAGAAAGATCTGAAGGTTTAAGATCTGATAATCCGAATGATGAAGACTATATTACAAATATAATTATGCAAACAATTTTAAATTATGAAATTCGTGAATCATTTACAACTGCTGTTTTAAGACCATTTCTTGGTGAATATACTGCACATTTTTGTCATGAGCTACATAATTATGCTACTAGTCCATATGATATGATTGGTTATGATCGTAATGTAAGATATAATAGTCGCCCAGGTTTTACATCACTTCAAAATGGTATAAATGTAAGTTAATATGCATTTAAACATATTTGAATATAGCATAATTTATCGTATTTATAACAATTTTTTTTATTAGACCATAGACTTACAAATTTCTGTTAATCCACCTACTGATGTTAGGACACTGCCATCATTGAACGATACAATTATTGTTGATTCTGAAAGTGATTCAGATTCAATTAGAATACAATATGCACAAGAACTCATTGTGGTAAGCAGTAGTATTAGTGAAGATTCAGATAATGAAATTCTTAGTCAACCATTCAGACCTGTTGATACATATGATTTTTCAATTAGAGATCAACCATCTACTTCTACAGGAATACGTAATTCCTTAGATCGTCCTACTAATAGGTAACTATTTTATATTATAAAAATTAATATGAAAAATATTTAGATTTGGTGATGATTTTCTTATGTTTTGCCATTATAACTTATGACAATGGTAAAGTCTTACCATATACAGGTGTTTCAGATCTAAATGACAAATCTTCAAATATATCTTAAAGTAAATTGTTAGTTAGGTCTAAAACACTGTATATTATATTATGGCATTTTATTTAGGAAAAGTCATAATACAGTTTCCCTGTTCTAACAAACAATATTCAAATTAATTAATTAAACAATTCTTAAATCATTTTTCTGTTGAATTATTTTTTACCATTTTTTTAATCAAGCCAAATAAATTGTTTTTATTTTATTTGTAGTACATCAATTTTTATTCTTTAATTTTAGGTATAATCTTAGACGAAGGAGATTATTTTCATCTCCACTAGCTGATACAGCTGGATGTCCTGTGCACTTATCTCGAATTGGATCTTCATCTAGTTCAAGACGAAGAAGATTTACAATAGAATCCTCATCATCTGATGATGAAGCAACTATTACTCATCAGCCACAAGCATTGCCCATGAGAGCTGATATAGTGTATGGAAAAAGGAAAAAGAAGGTAAAAAAGAGCAAACAGAATAAGAAAAAGAAAAATATGGATACTCCATCTGATGTACGTTTAAGGAGTAGAAGTCGATCATATTCAGGTTCATCATCTACTTCGGGTGATACAGATCATAGAGGTCATATTTCTGTTCAGCCATCAAATGATTTGTAGCTCAATCAAAATCCAATTGAAAATTTTTTTTTTTTTTTAATAATCTGATGTATTGTTAAACTACTCTTCAGTAAAATTGTATTTTATAATTAATAGTNTTTTTTTTTTTTTTTTAATAATCTGATGTATTGTTAAACTACTGTTCAGTAAAAATGTATTTTATAATTAATAGTTATTTGTCTTAATTTTAAATTGTATATGATTATATTTATTTAAAGTATTTAACTTATGATTAAATTGTATATAAAATTCAAACTAATGTATTGACATTATTTATCCTATAGATCTAATTTCTCCTATTTTTTTAATAAAAAAAAGTGAACCCCAGTGAACATTAAGAGTTCAATTGGGTTCAAAAATCGAACAGCTTATAACATCACAACATATTACATGTAAAAATCTATTTATAAGAACTTTTTCATAGGATTTTTAAAAGATTTGATTTGTTTTATTATATACACTCTTGTATCACTCTAATGAATATAAATATTTCATTATTAATTATTCACCTTATATTCGTTTGATTTTTTTATAAACAAAAAAATCTAAAACAAGTTTTGCCTACCACCAATTAGTTTTAATGAATATATTAGCTTCAATGCGAAGCTGAGAAGGTATTAATTTTACCATGATCTGTTAATTAATTAATTAATTTTTTTTTTTTGTGTCTGTCACTACATTTTCTCAGCTCTTACTGGACCGATTTCTTTTAACAATACGTCAAAAGATCACAAATCGTATCAAGTTGAAGACATTACCCTTAAAAATTGAAAAATTTTCCCTCATTCCCCGCAAATGGGGAAAATCTCCAAAAATATTACAAATTTAAAAATNATCCAAAAAAATTACAAATTTAAAAATCGCTAATTTTATAAATTTTGTCATTTTTTTTTCTTAAAACTTCCATAACTT